GGTGTAACTGTGAAAGAGAGATTTGGGATTGGGGACTAGGAAGCAACGAGGAAGGTCACTTATGCGTCTTTTATGTGGATGTGGACACGCATTAACATATCTTTTGGCGTCGTTTGGTCAAATTCGTGTGACAATTAAACGATAATAACAGAAGAACTAATAAAATAACCTTTTTGTCGTCTAATAAGAAAAAACATTAATTAAATGGAAGATTTTTTTTTTTTTTTTGAACAGAATTAAATGGAAGATAAAACTAATAAAAGTATACATGGGCGTATTTTGTATTCCTTTTATTTTAATTTTAATCGTGTGATGTATAGTGACACGTATATTGATATTCATTGTACAAGGTGTATTTTCAAGATAATGTTCCATGCCCAAAATATTCATAAATATAAATGATTATCTTCCATGTTGCATATATGTATTATCCCTTCAAAACTCCAGTTGCAAAATATAACCAAAAAAAAAAAAAAACTCCAGTTACAATTTGCAAAGATTTAAAGATTGTATACAAGTGATCAAATGTAGACAAACCTCGTGTACAACGATGAAAACAAGAGTCAACAATATACAATCTGATATTGATGTATACATACCAATACCAATTTATAACCCATTTCTTAAAATCTTGTTTTGAATACAATGTATATAAGAAACTTGCTGAGATCAGTACGTATAGGAATCTTTTTTTTTTTGTTTTTAGCGTAGATTGGAGGTATCATCTGCAATTACGAGTAACGCGATGACAAATGCGTAATCAACGTATGGATTAACTCTCACTTTGAAGCTGTAATTCCCTATTACCAGTCCTCTCCATGAGAAATCATGAACCACCTGCATAATTTAAGCTCTCATTATTCGTATTTTTCCAAAATATTTAAATAACTATAGTGTAGTACCCTTTGAACACGAAGCTCTATATATGCAAATGTAGCTAGCTATAGAAATATGCTGAATGAGCGTGACATAATCTACCATGTCATATTTTAATTACATATTAAACCCTTTTAGTTTGATCTTTTAGTGGTCAGTTTTGAGCGAAAAGTAAAGAACGCAGAATCATAGCTAGTGATGTACCTCAGCAAGAAGAGTATTATGAATTGGTTCAGAGAGTTTGAAAGAAGAACCGATATAACGACCGTATGTTCGAAAGTCTGGTTCGATATTACTAATGTCCTTCGAAATGGAAGATTGTTGTGGCGGTAAAGAGACATCAAGTGATGTTTTGAAGGAGAAAAGATTTGGTTCCCTTGCTGAGAAAAGAAGATCCTCGGATTCTATGCTTTCTCCTTTGTACACTTCCCATTTGTATCTCATTGTCACGAGTCCCTGAAACATTATACATTTCTTCTTTAAACAAAAGAAAAACAAAAACCAAGTCTTTTTAACTCGTGATTTCTTGTAACGTGTAGTCAACTTTTTCTTAAGAGAAATCATAAACTAGTATTGTTGTCAAACACTTCTAAACATATATCTAGGTGTAAGTAATACGCAATTAACCGGCTAGACGCTAAACATTATATTTTTCAACTTTAAAACTAAAAGAGAAAAGTTGGCAAGAAAATTTGGTTTAATGTAGGCCATTTAATTAAACCTTCAACTGGTCTAATGACATATACCGATTTTCTAAAAATTGAATTTAGGCATTGCTAAAGTCATTTTACCTTGACATTAAAAGTTAGGCTCTGCTCTAGAAGGAGAAATTAGGCAGAGCACCTAATTATTCTACCCAAACACGACGGTTTAAAGCATTTTTAAGCTATTTCATCAAAACCTAACCGAACTTCATAACATAACATGTGATCTTCAACTATACAATTAAATTGATTTCGTATAATTATAGGTGTAATTAATCAACGAGGTGTGCATGTGTGTGTCACCTTGGTACGCATGGATAGAAGAGGAATTCCGGTGGCGTCACGGAGGACACGTTTACGGCGGATGTTCCATGTGCCACCTTCGACGGTGAAGATGAGATTGTCGGAGAGATCAAAAACGTCGTAACGATCTCTTTTCAGGCTCTCTCGCTGTCTTTTCACCACTAGCTCCGTCGTGTACGGATTACAAAACATCTCTCCCACAACACTCACCATTTTTTCTCAAACAATCTTTATTTTCTTGAACAAGTCTATATGATACAAGAAAACTAAATCAAGATATTTATCAAAAGGATCGCAAGATTGTCTTTGATTTTTCCTCAAATTTTATTTATTAATTAAGTAAAGGAAAGAAAAGTATTTAAAGTCGATTGACGCGGTTCTTTGCTTGAGTAAGGAAACAAATGATTATTCATTTTCTTGGGGGTTATGAATGTGACACGAAGAAGAGGAATAAGATGTTCTAATTAGTATTTTATTAAGCTCTTGGAGATCATTTCATTGACCAAGATAAAAGAGATAACTAATCTTTTTTTTTTRTTTTCATAGTAATTTAGTTGCATACATTGTTGGTGAACAATACTCAAAGCGAACGATATCTTTAAATGAAGACTACAACATATATTTGGAAAACATAGTAGTATATGTTTTAGATACAAAATAGATTGAAAATAATGCATTAGTATATTTCAAAACGAAGAACAACCATGCACATACACACTTATAACAAAATTGTAACACTGATCTTTTTGTGTCAAAGAAAATAAAAAATCTTAAACTATTACATTTCCATAAACCATTACATTGATTTCCGTCTAAGTTCATTTGTTTCTTCTTTACACAACTTTTCGTAAAGATTAAGAAAAATATCAAATTTTTGACAAACTACTTGCATTACAACGCATTAAAATTGCATACGGGGCAAACACTTGTACCCACTTCGTTAATTGTCGCAGTTAAATGATGGCTCATTTAAGGTAATATTCTCTCAGCACTTACAATACTTTTATTTTATTTTTACTGTTAATGGATAAATTTCTATTGTTTGTTTGTGAATTAGAAAAAAGAAACTGTATAAAACATATTATTTCTGTTGACCAAAAAAATAAAATAATACATATATATAGATATATTTGTTAACTGCATTACTTATTTCTTTTCTTTTATTTTTTTACAAAAAAAAAATTAAAAATGTATTATTCTGTGCTTGTTTTAATTTGTTTTTCTTAACTTTGTTTTTAGTTCAGAGTAATTACCACAATTTTTTTGTTTTTATTTATAATTTTGTAAAGAAGATCATAACAAATTAACAAAATATTTTTACTTTATTAGCGCAGAGCATTGATGTGATGGCCGTACTGCAACTGCAACGTCTCCCAGTATTCCCCCAATAAGCGATATTACCAAGACACCCTTTCTCTCTTTCCATTTAAGTATCAGAGCGTAAAACCCCAAAAGGGTATTTTCGTCTCATAAATATTTCTTTTTCGCGCTTCATCCATTTTTCCAAGTCTCAGGAAAAATTGCAGCGTCTTCAGTCTAGTACCATCTTTTAACTCTTCGTCAGATTTAGCCATCACCGAAAAATTAAATCCAAGAACCCTAGAAATTTTCCGCTCCAGATTTCGAGTTTCTCTGTGAAATTTCGCACTCGTACCATGCATTTCTCGACTGAAATTTGCAGAAATTTGAGTTTCTAGGGATTCCAAACGCTGTTTCTTCTTCAGTCTTTGGATCGTTTGGGTAAGGACTTTCCGCAGTTTTTCCTGTGAATTTCTTCCTGATTTTCTCGAGAAACGTGCTCTTACGTTGCTCTGTTTTCCTATTTCTCAGCTTAGGAAAGCTTCGGCGAGCGAGATATCGTTTACTTCATCCTCGAGATTTGAGGTATCATTTCTCAGTTTCACAGATTTGTGTGTTTTTCAGATTTTTCCTTTTTCGTTTTTGACCAGATTTCTTTTGATTCTCGTTTATAAACCTTCGATTAATCGATTTTACTTTTTGCTACTGAGCGATTTCTGTGAAGAATCGAAATGTGCGTATGAGATTTTCTTTGGTTCTAAAGTTAGAAGCTGGTGTTAACGCTCAGTAGTGTGAGATTCACTAGAAATTTCTCCTGCTTAGGGTTTCTCCCCTAATCATGAAATTGTTAGGGTTCGTGTTGTCAACATTGTCTTAGAACGAAAATTACTCCAGCTTTAGGGTTTGTGGAAGTGAATACTTTAAGAGAATAAGTGCAAATTGCTTGATGATTTTAGAAAGAACTTTTGTGTTCACGGTTCACTTTATACAGTATCTCAGTTACGGTTTTCTTAAGCTTTGTTTCTGACATATATCTTGATTTTTTGCTTCTGGTGAGAGAAGCAATGGGTGCAGGAAGGAAGACAGAGACCTATACATTGGCTCCAGATGGATACCCATATGGAACTATGTGTGTGAGGAATCTTAAGAAGGGAGATCTTTGTGCGGTTATTTTTGGATGCAAATTCAGCACTATCAAAGAGTGCTATGCTAAGAAATTGTTTGGTTAGTTAGCTATGCAATCTTTGAGGCAAAAACTTTTAGTGACGATCATGTTTTGAAAATGATACTTGTTTGTGACCAGGTTTACCATCCCCTCATATGGCATATATCAAGAACATCGATCCCGGTTTGACCTTGTTTCTGTTCAACTACAGTGATCGAACACTTCACGGCATCTTTGAATCTGCAAGTGAAGGAAAACTGAACATTGATCCCAAAGCTTGGTCTCCAAATGGGACAGATCCAAGTCCATATCCTGCTCAGGTATCTCTACTTAGTAAAGAACACTTCCTTTCATTGATTCACACAGAATACTCCAAACCAAGATGTATCTTGTTTTGAATTTTTTTTTCACAGGTAAGGGTACGAGTCCGAGTGCAGTGTGAGCCCTTGCTTGAAGAACAGTTCGGCCCAATAATTGCTGAGAACTACAAGGATGAAAAGATGTTTTGGTTTGAACTAGATCGAGTGCAGACAAACAAGCTTCTCCGTTTGTTTAAACCATCACCATCTGTAAGGGGACCATCGATCTCCAGCAATGCTGCACCACCATCCAGAAAGCCTATCCCCGCATCTTCTCTTGCAGAGATAGGTGAGTTAGGAGCACCACATGTTGATAAGTGGAGCAGTCTTTTCAAAACCTCAGATGGTTCTAGTGAAAACAAAGGAAAAGACTCAAAAGACGGCGGAGCAGTTTCAAATGTGGTCAATCTTGGAAAAACTAAAGAGTGGGAAGCAGCTGCCAATAATGCGGATGTGCGAAATGCTCAACCATCAGTGTCACAATCTGGTTCATCTTACTCATCAGTTCTGAAAAACATGACTGCTCCTTCAACCCAGGAAAAGAAAACTTCTTTGACAAATGAAGTTCCATCTCAAGCAGGTAAAGGAGTTGCAAATAATTGGTCATCTGCTTATCATCAACAAATTCTCCATCCGACACAAAAGGGAACTTCTGCTACAGTTAACAATGTAATAGGACCAAGCAAGAAAGCTTTTACTGAGGACACATGTTCAGAAATCGATTGGGATGCTGCGTCAAACTTTAAAGTCCATCTTGAAGGACTGAACAGGATTTTGGACGATCCTGGGGCTAATAACAATGGTTTCAAGAGATTTGATGGTAACACGGGATTTGCTTCTTCTTCTTCTATGGTGCCTAATCATTGGGAGGATGAGGAAGTGAATGTAGATAAATCACCGTGTGGATCCTCGTATGTTTCCGCCATGACAGGAGACACACTTGATGACCTTGGAGATGACAAAGAGAAGCAGCAGCGTATGGATAACTTCAATTTGGAAATGGGATCCACCACTTTCGTCGATATCTTGAATGAGGTAAGTTGTGGAGGTCATCCATTATTCTCTGAGCTATGAAAATGGTTTGCTGATGAGTATCTTTTTCTCTGCTAGATACTGTCGGAAGTGAAAGAGTTGAAGCTAACTCAGATGAAACAAGCTGAGTATATGATTTCTTTGGAGATGGATCAGGTATACAATACACTTTGCAAAATGTTGTTTTTTGTTTGTTGAGATCCAGGTTCAATCTCTCTTGTACTTATTGTTTTGGTGTTCTTGCAGCTTGAATCAAGAAAAGAGATACTACGACTGAAGGCGAGAAATGGGAGTTCTTAAGCAGATGGTAAAACCACATATCAGTAAGAACAAAACTCTTGAGAGTTTGCAAACTCTCTCTAGCTACTTCGGGTTTTTGCTTTTGATATGGAACGTTTGAATCAAAACTTTCTACAAAATGATGTTTTACTTTTGTTGAAGCTTGTAATTGACTCTCTTCTTGTGAATCCTTTGACTTGGTGGTATGCTTTTCTTTAGTTTCAGTATGGATTTGCAAATAGCTTACTAGAGCATGTGCAATGCTAAATACATGTTTTGTATTCTTAAGACATATTTTATCATTAATTTAGGATTATAATTGGTTAAAAACCAATTTTGTGTTCGTAAGTTTCAATGGTGGAACCATGTTTCTTGATGTTATTCTAAACCATAACGATATTTTTGGAACGGAATTATTTAAGTGTGGAAAAGACGGCTTTGCTTCTAATGTGTAGGTGAAAAACTCAAAATGAATAGGCATGATTTAAACTGAATCATGGTCTGAAAAGTTAGAGCATGGAGATTACACAGACGTTATCCCACAAAAGAGATAACTCAAGAGATGTTTCTAAAATTCATAGAGTACATGTTTGTTCTCTAAGGAGATTATAACAAATTCTGGAGAAGAATTGCAGTAAAACTACCCGGGAAATACAGCTCGAACCCTCATGTAGTGTTTTAAGACAGCGTGAAAAGAACCTGCAAAATATGTTCAAAGGATAGGGAAATTGGTCAGGCAAAGTGATCAATACGAAAAAAAGTGAT